CACACACACACACACACACATATATATATATATATATATATATATATATATATATATATATATATATATATAAAATCATATTTTATTTATGTGACATATGTCAGTTGTTTTAAACATAATACATTTGAAATATATATTTTACTTGTATTATGTTTAAAGACCACTACTTTGTGGAACAGACTCCCAAAGAGATGCTTTCCCAATTACTACAGTCTTGATCCATATCTTTGCTAAATAATTGAGTACTGTAGTGGAGGTTAATCTTTGAGCCCGGTAAAATTTTGTAATTTTTGGATGTTGATTTTCAAAGAATGAATCAGGGCACTCTCTACAAACAATAAAATTGGATACATCATGATTTTACTTCCAGTAATATGGCTATATACCAGACCAAAGTCAAATTAATAAAAATAAAATTAAATAATCACTTGTTGCTCCATGACACAATAGTTAATAAAGTAGTTTTACAGGCCTTTAGTACTAGTTGTGAGTTTACTCCTCACTGGGTGCCACACATTTATAACATTGTGTTGTACTATGCTACCAGTTTCCCCTTTCACACTTCTTGCTTTCCAGTCAATTTTAATCTTTAAAAATTTAAATCCAATGTCAGTCATCATTATCTGTCTTCTTGAATACTGTTTTTATTGTCCTCTCTCATTAAGAATGATTTTTCACAGATTCGTTCACTCTCAGTGTCTTAGTGGCTTTATTACCTTGCTTGTGGGAGTGGTGAAATGAATTTTTAAAAATATGTATGTTGGTATTGTTATAGACAAATGTAAAGTCGCAAGAAAGAAATATGACAACAGCAGAAATAGATTTACGTGATTTATTTCAATAGGAACATGTGGTTTTGCGACAGCTACCTTGTGGTATAGTTCATAAGCCGGCTGCCGATCTGGGTTGATCTCTCATAGTAGTTCTTACTGGTTGGGGTGGCGCTCCTCCTGCTGACTGCTGTTGACTGCCCGGACTGACCGTGACAGATCTCTTCCCTAGCCTCCTGTTGACTCAACTTGTACTTCCCTGTGTGACTCCTTTTATGGCGTTTTTTTTATGGCTTAACAGGCTTTTATTTTTTGACCAGAACTCATGTGTTGGGCCTATGCGTAAACAACGATAATGGTCATTTTGTGATGGGGCCTTGTCCCGTTCACATCTGGCTCTGGCTCTTGAGTATGTTAGTTTATTTGCCTGCAAATCAGCCGAGATATGTCTTATTTTATTTTATAACAGTATGCATAAATATATTTTTAACACAAGATGTTTCAGGCAAAACTGAGAATAGTCTTGTGGCAAAAACTCCCCCAGATTTTCTAGCCAATAAATATAATTATTACAATTTCTTTCTATGTTGTTTTTTTTTCAATTCTGCTACCAAATGTGATTTATCACGTGTGAGTGCAGAGATTGAGATAAGACAGTGATCTTCTACTTGAGGTAGATCTCTTCATTTGATGTTGTTTTTGCTTTCAAATGTTAGCTAGAAGCAGTTGTCAAGGATTCCCACTTTATCCCCCACCCCTGCCGCCACATACACAGCTCACTGTAGATACATATATCTTTTTGCAAGTTGTGTAGCAATGTTTCCCTGAGATCTTTTGTACCAAAAACATATGACAGAGATGCAACCTACAATGTGAAAATGTAACACTCTTCTTTGGGATATCAGTTGCATTGAGTCTTATCCTCAGAATTCTATTAGATATATTTTCTGGAAAACTAATGTGTAAAATGTCAAATAAAAAGGGTAAAAAAAAATAATGCTGCTCAGTGAATTCTTCATAGGCGTATATCTGGAGAAAGACCGCAGTGAATGAACATTTTCCTACAAAATGAATACGAATCTCTAAATTTTGATAAAGTCTAATTAAACAATTATCTTTGTAACTAAATATGCTTTCTTGCTGATTGAACTTTTTTCATGAGAATAAATATAAAAAAATTAAAACGTTCATTGTTCTATTTTCTTTTAATTTAGTATTAAAAGAAGATAGAAAGTTTAGTTCAGTGTTGGAATTAATCTTAAGAAACAGTCCCAAAAGGAATCACTATTAAAAAGGAAATTTGTTATTGGCTGATTTAGGCAAAGATAGAAGTTTCAAGTATCAGCTTTTGTCTTACCTACAAGAGTAGTATAAATCATTGCCTAAAATATTTGTTTGACTATAACAAGAAATAACATTTTTAATCACAAACAATATATGAATTATTTAAGACATATCAAGAGATTATGTTAATGGTTAGTTTCAAGTTGTTTAGGATTCTCTACTCCCTACTGTATAAATTAAATTGTAGTATTAAACAAGATATCTGAACTGTGATGTAACAGTAGGTAAAGGAAAGTTAAATATTATTATCTTCAGATGAGGTATGTGTAAAAGTTTCCAGTATTTTTTTTTTAGAAAATGTTTATATTGTCATATTATATCACATAACCCAGTGGCTGATTCTTGGTCAGCCTGGTCAATAGTGACCAGACATCCTGATCTCTGCCACACACCGCCTATATCACAAGATGTCTTGGTCTACAGGGTCATGGGATGATGAATTGTTTGCAGGATCAATCCCATGCTGTTTGATACTATTGTACTTCAACGGCTATTGTTTACTATCCATTTCGGTCACCACCCTATTTCTCTCACACTGTGCTTCTTGATCACAGAGCTGGTAGGGATTGATTAATCGTCAATGTCATAGTGTTGATTCAAAGCATAGCGAGCTGTACTTTGATGAAAAAAAATAGAAATATCTTTTAGCAGATGTAATAAAAACAAAAATGTCTTTGGGTCAATTTTTGATTCGGTTTATGCAATTCTTGGTATAACAAAAATTAACCCATCTCACTAAAATCTCCTTAGTGACACTTTTGTTTATTAGTACAAATTTCCTGAAACTGGGCTCAAGTCAGTAATTCTCTTGGCAGCAGGTTATATGGGCTTCAGCAGCTCCTTTTGCCACTGCCTCGTCTCATCTTATGTCTGTAGCTCTAATTCCAGCTTCAACTGCCTAGGTTGCTCAAGTGCTCCATTTATATTGATTTTGATTCAAAATTGAAGTTGGGGCTGATGGTGTTTGGGAATTTGGGGTTTCCCCAAGTTTCTGCAATGATTACAACATTAATTGTACTTATCTTTTTAATTTTCAATAATAAAACCAATGAACCCTACAGGTCCATCCCCTATCTGAATTCCTTCAACACAGAATAAAATCCTATGGTAGGCAAGGTCATTTTTTCCTGCTGACAGACAGGAATAGGCCAGTCTCTTGATTCTGACTTTGTCCTTAAAATTATCAAATATTATACTCAATTGACCCTTTCTTTCTTCCTGTTAATCCTGAAACATGGTCTTGTCACTTGCACTTTTAGGCAAATAGGCATAAATCTATGTCATCTCATGATTTTAATCCTCTATGTTTGTTCCAAGTCATATTCCAAATTAACTCTTTCTTTTACTTTTAGTAGTGTCATATAATGCCACAATATAACAATTAGTAAAGGAAAGTTAAAACAAAAGTTAAAGACAGTGTGTTAGAAGAAGAGTTAAAATATTTAAATAACTTAAAGGTGTTTGGGATGCAATCTTCCCTCATGTATAAATTGAATTGTAGTATTAAACAAGATATCTAAATTTTCATATAACAATAGATAAAATAAAGTTAACATTTATACTCTCTTCCGATGATGTGTGTGTAACAGTTTCCAGTACTTTTAATCATAGACATTACAATACATGAGTTATTTTAAGACATACCAAGAAGTAGTAAATATGTAAATCATTAGTTTCAGGTTGTGTAGGATTTTCTCCTTCCTGATGCATAAACTGAATTGTAGTATTAAATAAAGTATCTGTGTAGTGTTATGACAGAATAGAATTTGCACTAAGGGTGCCAGATGCAGGATGGACCTAAGGTAACCTACTGCTTGCCAAGTGCAGAATCACATGACATTAGTGTTGTACTTGCTCTTGGGAATGAGAAGCATGAGAGATATATGAACACCCACCTCAGTGGTGAGTGGAGGAGTCTTTCAGACATCGCAGATGAGAATATTAGGTCCATGTTTCAGACAAGTGCTCATGGCCTACACAAACACATACTGTTTAAGAGTTATTAACAAAGATATGACTTGAATAAAATGTAATATTAAATGTGACAGTTTCAAACTTCACCTTATCATTGGATTGATTTTTTTGCATTAAATCTGAATTGCAATGAAACAATTGGTACAGGCAAAAATTAAAATTTATGCTGTCTTCCCATGATGTCATTGATGTGTGTTAAGTCTCCAGCATTTTTATTAAAGAAAATAGAAAAAAAAATAGTTCTTTGTTTTGGTTTGAATTTCTGGGATGAGGAATTATCATTATTTACACTATATTCTGACTATTATCCTCATCTTTGTTTTTTTTTTATCACAACCTTTTGGACATTATACTCTCCAGCCTTTTTCAGGTGTATATTGATCTGGGTAACCTACAGGGAATTTCAAATTGAACTCTTTATTTAATCTGTTCTCATTCCACTGCTCATGTCTAGGGATATTGTATTGTTCTTATTTTATTTAGTACTGTTCAGTAAAACTAACAAAGATGAGGACAATTGTCTAAATATAAATAGTTTTTTGTTTATTTAGTTTCTCAATTTAAAAAAAAGGGTTCTTTAAGCTTTTGCACACACATAATATTATGCATTATTTCTAAATTATATAAGTAAAGAGAAAGTTGGTAAATAATAAAACCTTGTATATAAATGGATCATGTTGATTGATTTATTTTGTACATCTTATCAACCTTTTATAGGTTATGTAAAGCCAGAAAATATTATTAGATTGTAAGAATAGTTTTGAGATAATAATGATTTACGGATAAAAAGTCATACAAATTAAGCCATATTTGGTGGACGAAGTGTATTTGTGTATAAGTGAATATAAAGAACCTGACTGGAATTGGAACTCAGCACTTTGATTTCCAGTTCTGAGCCATTATCCATTGTATCACAGCACCTGGTATTCCCAAATAGTCACCCACTTAGGTACTGAGCAGGCTCAATGTTGCTTAACTTGGGTGATCATATGGGAACCAGTGTTTCCATGTGATATGGCTGTAAGAGCTTAGGAAATGTTTACAAAAGGATTCACTGCTGAAAAGAAAATTTATAACTTTGTAGGCTTCAGTGTTAAATTCCACCATCACCGACAATACCCTGCAGTCTGTCCCATTACCAAAAATCTTGAGAACATTTTGTCATCACTGGCATGAGTTTGTGTGTGCGTATGTGAATGGTCAGTTAGGCAGACCACCTTCCCATAACAGCCTTACTTGTCCAGACAGTTACAATTGAAATCAATTTTATTGCCCGCCTTGATTGGAATCAATACTATATCCAGTAAGAGAAAAGAGATTAGTTTCACATTACTTAGGGTTCTATTCTGCAGGAGCTATAAATTGAATTCTTGTAGTAAATGAGTGGATGTGAAGATAGTGTAATGCTCAGAAAGTAAAACTGGCAAGCCAAGTTCAATTTCTGACCAAGTTAGTTACCTTCACTTTCACACAAATACTCTTGGGAAAAATATATGGATTTATCTCTTCTCCCCAAAACTATAAGTTAATTTTTTTTTTTGCATTTTCATACATTCTGTTTTGGCTGTTTAACTTATTAAATAGAAAAACAGACTGGGACATCTAGCCATGGTTAGCATCCAGTCAAGAAGGAGGAGAATTCTTTATTCAAAACCCACACCCTGGGACACTGAGTATTTAGCCCTGTCAAGGCATATTATGTATAGCCACTGAAAAGATTATGCTGTTTACAATTAACCATGTTACACAGTTGGGGATTCTGATCTGGACCTAAATCAAAAAAAAAAAAACATAGAAGTAAATAAAATATCTAATTAATCTTGTAACATTAGGTGAATTACAGCTGCACACAGGTTATCATTAATTTCTCTCTAAAGAAGAGTAAATACGAACTCATGTAAAGAAAAAAAACAAAAAAAAACATGGTGAGGTCAAATTTGAAATTTATATTATAGCACTTTGGTTAATGAGACAAGAGAATTGATCGCTACACCTGCTTTTCTTTAGAATTATTGTTTCTCTTGCAAAGAATGTTCCTTTGATTTTGTGTTCTGTTTTGTTTTTCAATGTGGATAGATTCTTTCATTTTACAATTTACTGTCTACATATCAACTTCTTCAACCTGAAACTGCTGATTTATTTGAAAACAAAAAATTTAAAAATATTCAATCAAAACATTACCCTTTGGCCACCTTGGCATCAAGTTATAATTTGTCTTCCAAAAGAAGTTCTTGTGTAGTGAACCAATAAATTCATTGAAGGCTTTTTAATTTGATACACATTGGAGAATTTATTTTCTCTGTGTGGGAATGGTTGAGAGATGTTTGAAAAGAAAGTAATCTATAGAAGAATGGTTAGGCAAAAAATAAAGCCTGTTTTTAACTGATTTACATTCACCCTATTGTTTTCATCTTTGGCCTGATCCCATTTTGGTAATTGTGCCCTCTGACCTTCTAGTGTCTATTGGTTATAGAATTTTAAGCTGAATCCATTATTTAATCTTTACATATAGATTGTTCTTGTTCTACTCTCCATGTCTAGGGATCGCAAGGGTCTTCTTATTTGGTGCTGTTTAGTTATTGCTCACCCAGTTTTCGTTAAGTCTATTCCACCCAGGGATTGAACTCACAATTACTATGTCACCAAATTCATGTACCCATAGGCTGCTGCTCCATTGAAGCAATCTTAAGCTGAGAACTTGGAGCCTTAAACTTAATTACTTTTAGCAACGTCATTGTTGATAGACATTCACATGTCCTGGGTAAGACGATAAACTACATCCAACAGCAAGGCCTCTGATCAGGAGGTTTTGAGGAGTGTGGAACCACCTCTTAATTGCTGGTGTTCCCAGGTCCACCCTGACCCGGGGTGGTAGCACCTGTTAGGGTTCCAACTATGGGTAAATAGTTAATCCTGAAACTGAAGTAAAAAGCATTATGAAAGTGTAAAAATAGGTTTTAATACCAGAAATACTTTGTAAATATTATTACCAGAAATAAATTTTTGAAGAAAAAACTATTACCTGCAATAAGTTTACAAAAAAAAAAAATTACCAGCAATACATTTTTAAAATAATATTACCAGCTATACATTTTTGAGGAAAAAATATCAGAAATAGATATTACCAAGAAAAAAAAAGTTGTCAGCATTAAATTACCCACTGAGGTTGATATGCCATAAAACAAAACAAAAATTCACATGTCTGTAAGTTGAGTCTGAGTTATCCCCCTTAATTTTTGTCCTGCTTGGAGTTTGTTTAGTGACATTGGCAGATAATTTAAGTGACAGTTGTGGTGATGAGTAGTTGTCTTGTGAGGGATAACCTCATTGTTATTGTTGTGTAGGAACCTACCACCCCTCTTGAAGATGAACTCGTCTACAAACAAGGACATTAAATAGTGGCATGTCAAAAGACAGTGTCGGAGAAGTTCTGGGCTGAGTTAGTTATAGACTACTCAGGCGGTTTCTGTACCAACTTACCAACCGAATAAACCCCATTTTATTGTTACATGTTATTTGGCGTTTGTCTTTATTAACCCCAAATTAACATCATAACAGTTATATATGTGAAAAGGAAAAGCTATTAATGTTGATTGTATGCAGATGTTTAACTTATAGTATTGAAGGTGTTGAACACTACATGGCTATTTGTTTTGTAGACTGAACTATTTTGATCATGGCACTGTTAAGGAATTTTGTACACTGATTGAATTTATCTGAAATGGCAAGATTGAACAACTTTTGTTTCTATTACCTATAGAATAGGACTGTTTATCTATTTCTTATTCTTGCAAAAATGGATGGCAAGAAACTGAGCAAGGAAGTTGAAACCTGGTTTTGGACACTCCCCTGAAAAGGAGGAAAAGACAGAAAAAGAAAAAAGTATTGAAAAAAAAAAAAGAAAACAATTGAAAATAAAAACAAATCTGAATCAACAAATAAAAAGGAAAAAAAAGAAAAGAAGCAGCTATGGAAGTGACAGGTAGGTGAGTGCCTCTGAATGCTTGGAAAATCCCACCCCATGTTTAACCAAACTAACAGAATTTGTGCAGAAAGCTAGATTGTACAGCCAGTACATTAAAGTGGTTGCTTTCCTTCTTTGGGAATTGTGTCTGTTTTTCTAGCAACCATGAAGACAAATGAAATTGTCAAGGCCACAAATGACTAGGATTAAATCAATCCTATTATGAGTATAAAGGTTCAGTGGGCCTTTGAAAGAACAACCTTTCCCTTATAGAACATCCTGCTACCCACGCTAGAAGACTTGCATACCCCTAAGCAAAAAAGATTTCCAAAAGAAATTATTGATATATTGTATAGAATATCAGGTCCAGCTCAGGACCATGGTAGCTGTATTCAAAGTCCTTAGTTTTTCCTCTTGAAAAGCCTCACTAATGACGAGGTATCCCTTTTCTAGCTAATGATTTAAGGTGTGCTCTCTGTAAGCAAAAGGCCTATCTCCGCAGGACTAATTGTTTCACCAGAATTCATCATTTGTAGAGATTTACAGGAGACTATCAAGTCTGCCTTCTTTTGTTGTACTGTTGTACACCTGTTGTATGAACTTGTTACAGGTTACTTGGGTCACATCATTCATGGACAGTCCTGTTTGTAGCAGCGTGGACCTGTCACTTGACAAGAACAAACACTGGGTATTTGTGTTCATTAGCTGTAATAGGAATGGTGATCTTGATGACATCAATGAAGTCCATGGAGATTTGTCTCTTTCTCACTATAATCTCATTGCATACTTTAAGCATCAGCTTATGGTTAATATCAGGATTGAGGGGAAGAAGTTGTCCTTGTTTGACTTTAGCAAAAGATGGATGAATTCTGCACGTTTGTCTCATGTGAATCGGGTTAACATAAAGTGACATCTTATGGTGACTGGTTAAAAAGTTTACTTTTCTGTGAAAAGATTTTTCTCCCTTGCTGAAGTAAGTGTGTGTGTGTGTTTTTTTTGGTTTTTTTCAGTTAGAATTCATTCAACTTAAGGAATATATATATATATTTTATGTCCATTACATTTTTGCTTTTCTTTTCCTTTTCCCTGTTCAGTAACATTTTGGCAATGTGGGAAGATTTCACTTCAAGTTTTTTTTAAAGTTTTTTTTTTATTAGTATTTTCACACATTCTGATATGATAGAAACTTATTCTGCTATATTGGATTATGGGGTGGGTCACATACTAAATTATTTTTTATTTTTGTAAAATACTTTTTTGAATCATATCCTCAGGGAAATTTTAAAATTGCAAAATATAAATCATTTGTTTAGCCCTCCCCCTCACATGAATTATAGATATAAATGCAGTAAGTTCCTGGGTTACAACATTCCCAACCTATGACAATTTATGGTTGGGGCACAATCTCCATTAATCTTCTTTTGACTTATGCTGTTTGCCTTGTACATGCAATGTAAATGGCACACCAAAAGAATATATGGCATAGCGGAAGAATACATTTTGCAGTGAAAGAATACGTTATCGTATGGTGCCAGAGTGCAGAAGTCAGCCTGGGTCAGTTACTGGTTGTATGTCATATTAGATTGTTGTGCATTCACTCTCTTTCATTTGTGTTGTGTTTGTGGAAACTTATTGCCTTTCATTATGACTCCCAAGTTTAATGCAAACTCTTCTGATGAATTTGCTTCGAAGAAAAGGAAAGCCATCACCATGGAAGTGAAACTAGACATTGTTAAACATCTTATGCTTCATCATCTCATTTACTGAGGACCAATGACATCACTGACAATAAATATACAAGCAGCTTAAAACAATTTAATTATGTATTATTTTAATATCATTATATGTTATATTTATATCTTCTATGTGCTTTTTTAATTATGTTAACATATGCCATGTCCTAGATTATTACTTTACTATTGCATTAGCATAGGTGAGTGATGTAAGTGTTTATTCATAGAAAATTGCATAAATGTTCTGATTTGCATGGAAAAATACATTACGACACATCATAGGAACAGAACTTTGTCATAAGTTGAGGAATCCTTTTATTAGAATT